TTGGTGAATTGTGGTTGAGTTTGAGATATCCCACATTGGTGAAGAATTGAAAATTTTGAACAATATGAAGTGTATAAGAAAGGTGGATTGGATGCATTTGTGTCAAATATGGGGTTTGCCTAATAGAGTTGTCTTTCTTTGGATGACCTTATTTGAAATTTATAAGCATGGTTGGGAACCAATCAAACCAAATGATAGAAATTATAGTGCAAAATTTATTATATTATTATATCTTCATTATATATATATATATATATATATATATTTATATAAGTAAAACCTTGGGGTGAGGAGGTGACACCATGAGGATTATAAAATTTAAAACCTTGCGGTGATGAGGTGGAATATTGATTGGTGCATTTGTGTCGATTCATGAAGTTTGCTTCAATGGGTATATATATATATATATATATATATATATATATATATTATTTAACTTTTCGAATTATTTGAATACTATTTGTTAATGATTTTATTAACAACTAATATGTATTTATATAGACAATATCCAGATCATTAATCAAAATACTAATGCTACCGCGCAATGCGCGGTTCCCATACTAGTTTGTGATTAATAACTTATAGGACAGTTTCATTTTTCAGAGCTTTTTTATTGCCAAAACGAATGCAGTGATGGGTATGTTGAATGTAGATGAATTGGATATGTTGGACAAATTATCATCATCATTTGAAAATTAGGCCGAGTCCACCTTGCACAAGATTCAAATTTTTGACTTGGTGGCAAATAATCTTTTTTTTTTATTAACCTGGATATCCAACCCGCTATGCGAGCCGACTAATCCCAGGGCGACCACCTGCTTTGCAGGTAGTCTGGAGTCACCGCATTTGAACCTCCGTGGCCACAAGAGGATTTTTGTTCCTCCTTGGATTTGAACCTGGGACCTCCTGACACTTTTGACTATTGGAGCCAAGTTCAAACCAATCAGACACCACCATTGTGGTTGTGGCAAATAATCCTTCGGTACATCGGTTCATAAATACTGTTAGCTTGGTGCCAAACGCTCCTCTGATACACTTATGTAACCCATTATCACATGACCATGATCATTGTCATCTAAATCAACCCATGTCTAAAGGAAGTAGAAATAAATCAACAGACTCAACTTTTGCAACAAGATCATGACTGAGTATCAGTTACKCATTAAGTGGATGGCATGATACATGCACCGAGTGGTTCCATGGTCACACATAACAATTTTGTAATACCACCGTAATATTTTAGTAACACTTTTGTCCAAAATACACAACTATTAGTAAACATTTATATTGTAAGCATAGAATGTACTTTCCCAGAAGTATTAATATTAAGAGCAAATTACATCGTTGGTCCTTATGCTTTGCCTATTTTTCGGGTTTGTTCCCTAAAATGCAGCAAGTTCAGTCATTGATCCTTATTTTGTGTTTCACATACCATATTTATCCTTCAAGTTAACACTGTTAACTTCAACATCGTTAACTATATCATACGCCCCTTATGTGAGGGGCAAATCAGTCTTTTTACCCTTATTTTATATTATTATATAATAAATTGATAATGTTTTATAAACCCCCGTCCCCTCTTGTCTTTTGCAACCTAGTACTCTTATTCAACGACCCACAACCCAACCACCATGATAAAAACCTTACTCTCTCTACTTCGATCTTCGGGTGCCCCCTTCCCCACCCTACTTCATTCCGACATAATCGCAAAGGTAGATTGCAGGTGTATGAATCAAGCTGCTAACTTCATTTGCATATACAGCTACATTTTTGAGCTCATGTTTTTACATCTTTGGCCAACATAAACGCAAAGGTAGATTGTAGGTGTAAGAATCAAACTGCTAACTTCATCTGCATATACAACTACATATTTGTATGAATTCATTACAAACATTTGAGATAAAAAAAATCAGATTTCTAAAACACAAATTCCTAGAATTAAACTCACAAATTCCGAAATCAAAAGGTGAACTTAATCGAACTCTCTAAAATCAAACATAACAGTGGAGGTATGAATTGAAGAGGTAGATGATCGGCATGCCAACATGATTAAGTCCAACATAATCGCAAAAGTAGATAGTAGGTGTATGAATGCAGCTGCTGACTTCATCTACATATACAACTATGTCTTCGAACTCATGTTTTTTTTACATCCTTGACATATTCTACTTCTATATCTTTGACCAGTAAAGCGAGACGGTGGTGAAAGTGGACGACAAGGGGAAGGGGTTTCACCGGAACTTCTAACCACGATTTGGCAGAACGATTGTTACCATCGTCTTTCACTCTATAAATAAAAACAGTTTTGCGTTTCAAAGTATATCAGAGAGTATCAGGTGGTGGTTGGTGGTAGTAACGGGATGAAGGATTTTCAACCGAGGGTGTTCACTAAGAAAGGGAAATATTGATTTATTATATGTATAAAATAAATATATTATTTTATTTTAATTTCTTAGGAAATAGAAAAGTATAAAATGACCTATTTGCCCCTCATATGAGAGACACGTTAACATAGACCAAACAATAACAATGTTAAGTGGAGGGACCGATTTCTTATGAAAAACATATGGGGGGTGTTTGAGATTGTTTATAAAAACAACTTATTGACTTACTCCGGTATGGTACTGGTAATAAGCACTTTTCAGTGTTTGGATAAACAATTTATACCGGTGTCAAACCGGTAATAAAGAGTTTTTGAAGAAGTTAAACCCTTCTAACTTATAATAAGTTGATAAGGGCTTTTAGAGTGAGTGAGTGTTGTATACTTGATCCGTTTTAGAAACCGAAACAGAGGGATGAATAGTGTAATTTAGTGTAAACATTTATTTACTTTGGTTTTCCCTATACGGAGAAGGTTGAAGAGGGATTGGAAATTGGAAAGGTGCAATGGGCAATGGGCAATGGCAGTTCCGAAATACAAGTGGTAAAAGGAGGTGATATAAAGAAGGAGTCAACATCAATATAAATCTAAATGAATAAATAAATAAGGGGGGAGATGTGAGTGGGGATCGCTTTCGTAATCGTAGAGTATTATTTACAGCTATGCATTTCAGCATTTGCCTTTGAAGCTTGGTTGGACTCCTTGCTACTTTCTTTCACTTCACTCCCTCACAAATCTCCAAGTTTCGTTTATTAATTGTTAATAAAACCCAAACACCACTGCCATCATCATCATCATCGTCGTCCCATTTCAATTCAAGCACAAAGATTTAGATACTGGAAGTCAAGTGGGTTTGTTGAAAGAAAAAAGGAATTACCCAGACAAGATCACTCAGTTCAAACCATAAAGTCGATTCCTTTTCCGTAAGATTATCCAGAAATTTCCGTTGTTTCTTTCACCTTTCTCTCTTATCTTTCATGTTCGTAAACACACACACGCACACCAAGTGTTTGATATATGATTTGCATCTAGTTAGGATCATCCTGGTGCGAGTAATTCAGCTAAAACTTGAGTCAATGGTGGCTTGATTTCGTATGAAGCATTCAGATAGAGATCTCCAGTTCTGGGTAATGCGGATATCATATTCATGTTCATTTCTTTTGTGACAGTTTGTATAATATGGTGTGTTTGTAATTATTTTGTGTCTTCTTATTTTTATATAATTGTTGGGGTTGCAGTCTGAAGTTTGGTCCCCATTGCTGAATGAACAATAACTAAATTTTTTTCCTTTTTTGCAATTGTCACCAAACTCTTCCACCTATCTATTAGAATGGGTTGCAGGGATCCACTATTACGGTTCAAAGACCATTTGGTAAAACAATATATAAAATTATTGTATGCTTAATCACGCCGTTTATGAACTGGGTATGTTTGATATCTGTTAAATAAATTTCACTGTTGGAATATGCATAATTGAAACTTTCTGACACAAATTTTTGCTTATTACTATTGGACATTTCAGTATCAAACTGTTTTATATTTGCTTGGCTGTCGAAACTGTAATCCAGGTTTTGAGTATGGTCCATTCTTGATACATCCATTGGTCAATCATTTTTAGAGGATTTTAAGAGTTATTATATTTTTATAGTCAATTATGTTGCATTTTGATGTTCCAGTAGAAGTCTCCTGAGCTAGTAATTAGGTCAAAGTTTTAACAGTGACAGAACTAAAACTCTCCAAGAGTTTTTTCTTTTATTTTTTTACCTAAGCTCTTGGAGTGCATGCACAATTTTTCATGATTTCTGGAAATAAAATTATTAGGGTTGATCCAAGAGCTTGGAATAAGTTCTGCACGTTCATGTTCATTTGGTTTTATTCACCTGTTGTCATCTCTAAACTGGAGAGATTTGGTTCTGATTGCAGGTATATATGATGTGTAAGAACTGTAAAATGGTACTGAAACCACCAAGAAAAAATGTGTTGGGCTTTATGGATCAAGTATAGGAAGAATTGACTGACAGTAAACTGGTCAAACCTGAAGATTTATGATACTGGTGTTTTCATGCACAAAGTGGGACCCTTGTTGTCATGCGTCCACTCCTTTGTCATGGGTACCTTTCTTGGTGCATTCTTGCTGGACATATCTTCGTAATTGTGCTCTCAATGAGTTCAGGGCAATACGAAAGAAATTTCACTGACAAAGGAACTGGATCATCTATCGACACTGGACCTTTTCCAACTGTTGGTTCTGAAATTTCAACTTTGAACTATATACAAAGATGGGATGATCCACCATTGTCATATAATGGGATCTCTTGCGAAGAACTGGGAGGTGTGGGGTCATTTGACACTACCTGCTTACTGAACTCAGATGTTAATATAAGTTCTGATCTTTATGTATCAGCTAGTGGAAATATCGAGATCCTTCCTTCTGTTTTGATTGTTTGTCCCATAGAAGGTTGCGTGATTAGCTTCAATCTCTCTGGAAACATCAAAGTTGGAAAAAATTCTGCTATCATTGCTGGTTCTGTTATTTTCTCTGCAGCTAATATGAGTATGGAATCTTATTCCTCGATAAACACCACAGCTATGGGTGGAGCACCACCTTCTCAAACTAGTGGCACTCCGGTAGGGCATGAAGGTGCTGGTGGGGGGCATGGTGGTAGAGGGGCTTCTTGTTTAAGGAATAATAACACAACGTATTGGGGTGGTGATGTTTATGCTTGGTCTACGTTGCCTTATCCATGGAGTTATGGAAGCAAGGGCGGTGGCACATCAGATGAACATAAGTATGGAGGGAATGGTGGTGGGCGTGTTAAGCTTATTGTGAAGGACCTTCTTTATATGAACGGATCACTGCTAGCAGAAGGAGGGGATGGAGGACTAAATGGTGGAGGCGGATCTGGTGGAAGCGTTGTCATACATGCTTTAAAACTGTAAGGACTTTTGTTTTGTGTCTGTTCTTCTGTGCATGCCATTGGTGTGTGTGTATATCCATAGATATATTAAACCAGATGATGCTATGATCCATGAAATAAATTGTTGAGGCAAGCGACTAAGCAATTGTAAAGTTGAATGCCAGTAGCAAAACATTCACAGCAGATGACACCAACAAAAATGAATCGTGGTTATGAAGGATTTATCAATTGTGGTCATCTCAGATTGTAGAATTGTAGTCGTTAATGGCAATTCCATGTTTTGATATTGCATGTAGATGTAAAGATGTACCGGTATATTATTTTTCCAGTCATATGCTTCTTTATTAAAGGAAAGGAAAATTTGCCACTTTATTTTAATTTAGCCACAATCGGGGTTTGTACCTTTTTAACATCTTCACCAACCATACTAACTCTATGCACTGAATTACAAAATAGCCTTTACTGGCGTTTAGCAGGCAATACAGGTAGCAAGAAACCGAGTTTGATGAGCTTCAAGAGCATCTATCTCTTTATTCATACCCTATACTTATCTAAGACCTTTTCTTGCTTGGGCATATTTATGAAATAGACATGTGAATCATTGAACATACAAGCAACAATTTGGAGCTAATGAAAATTGTAAGAACGAACGCAAGCAAGATGGTAGTTTGCAAATTTTCAGGTATTATGTTGTTTCTTTTAGATCTAGTAGGAATACAAGGATGAAAAGAAAGATGAGTATCATGTGTATCAAATTAATGAATCTCAATATGAGTAGAGGAAAAAGAGGGAGTCTGAGACTCATGAGGAGTTCCTTGATTAGGAGCCATAAGTTCAAGAGGACTTTGTGCATATCGTATACAATGATCTTATGTGGGTGAATGATCTTCCTACCATTGGTTAAACTCTTAGTTGAAAGAATAGACGCTAGAGCATTTATAGGGATGAGCTAGGAGCTCTAGGATGAAAAATTCCTGAAGTGAACATCTCTTGTGGTAATAAGTTGAATGGTATTTGTATCATAAATCAACCCTTTGATTAGAAAGATAACCAAGTAGAACATATTCAAACAATTTAGAAGTTAGTTTGCTATGGAAGTTGTGCAAAACAAACAAACAACAATTTGTATATGTACATAAGAAGGTTCTTTTGTGAAACATCTCATATGGAGTTACATTGTTTATGGAATGCTAGCCAATTATTCATTGAATGAACCTCTCCAAGAACCGAATATCTTCAGTATTGGCTAAGAAAACCTGCTTAAAGATGATGTCTAGCAACTTGCTATGTGTACACTCTCTTAGTTCTACCATTTTGTTGAGGTTTATAAGAGCATATGGAGTGAGGAATGAAGCCTTTGTGGTTAAGAAGAGTGTTGATTCAGAATCTGTGAATTTGGTGTATTACTATATTTTATGGCCTAAATAGGTTACCCGGACTAGGTATGCACAAACGCAACAAGCTAGACATGTTTTTATTGGACATAAAGATCCATAGAGCTCTATTGTGATCAACAGTAGTCAAGTACTAATTATCATATTGAGTAAGATTTCTATCAACATCCCAAATATCAAGATGTAGCAAATTTAAAAGGACTAACCAAGAAAATCACCGAGAGAGAGAGAGAGAATTTTATGGTGCTTAGCATAATGCAAAATGGAACAAACACAACCTGTTTGCTCTTTATTACAAGACAAGGAAGTGATATAATTTGATCAAAAGTTTTAGTTTCCAATGGAAGGATGGCCGATAGTGCAATAATGAGATAGGATCGAGGTTAATTGATGCCAGTTGTGAAGGAATATGAGGTGCAATGTGGTTGGTATCCAAAAGGTATAAACCTTGACGATGCTTTCCTATTGCAGTCCTCCTTCTCAAGAAATGCTATCATGATAAAAGATGACAGAGAGAATGTGATCTGACAATTAACTAATTGAAAACATAGTTGATATATAGAAGAACAAGAACCTATTTGCGTAAAGTTCATATGAATACCCAGAAGCACAACAAGCCTTGTATCTCAATTGTTGTGGTAAGCTAAAATGAACCGCAAAAACTTATATAATATAATGGTGAACTAACGATGAGGGATAGGATAAAGAAGCGGACAAACTAGAGGAGGTTGTGGTGAAGCTATTTAAGGAAAAGCTCACACCACCATTTTAGGTCGCTTGTTCATCTTGAACATTGACCTTCAAATTCATCGGCTAGAAGAAGAGACTTGTATTTATAGGTTGGTACGAGAGGTAGTGGTCAACCAAGAATGCCATGGATTGGTACGAGAGGTAGTGGTCGATCAAGAATGCCATGGGGAAGCAGTGAAGAGAGATTTACATGTGGATTATGCCTAGAGAATTGACATTAGGTAGGGCCTCATGGAAGGATACCATGTTTTTGTCTTCAAACCTTGGGGTTCACTTTATGTTTCATTTGGGCTACACCATTGTATACTTTCTTTCTGTTTCATATTTAGCCTAACCCAACTATTTTGGGATAAAATGTTTGGTTTTATCATGGTGAATGGGAACCAAAACCAACTATAAAGAGGTGAAACCTAGGTAAAAGAGTGAACTTATGATGATGTTTGGTAGGAACATCTTGCATCAGATTCAAATCAATGCAAGTGTGATTTGTAGTCCACTATCTGCTTTCATGACCAAATTGGAAGAAATGTAAGAATAAGAAATTTTGACATGTGATTTTTCATGAAAGAATCATAGACTGCATAGAATCTATTGCTCTGCATCATTAGAAGGAGTTCATTCTTATGAAGCCAATCAGTCTTGCTTTAGGTATATCTTCCTCTTACATTCTTTTCAACAGAATTTGATGACATTCATCTTTAGCTTGTAAGTCATATAACAATTTAAACTTAAGTAACTTAGGCCTTTGTTGAAATCCATTGTTTTAGTTGCCATGAACCTTGTAGAGTCTCAATTAAAGGATGGCCATGACGACAACCAATCAATTCGTAATATTATTCCATATATGGCCTTCTTTACAGTAACAACATATGGCACCCTTTCTGAGAGGATACATTTTAAAGGCATCTGTGGTTTGACTTTCATTAGCATAGGTTTTCTGAGCATCATGAATTCATGATTATGTTGGTGGTGGAAGATGTGCAGATGAAATTGTGCTGTCTATATATCATAAGCTTGCCTTGAGTTTCTTTGAAAGATAATAAGCTGACAAATACTTGGAAGAGAATTCGTTTTGCAGACAAGACCCCCCATTATTTTAATTTATTTCTTATCGTGGCTTTTTTGTATTTCATAGTAATAAGGCATTTATAACAATTGCCATCATTTGTGACATCAAGAGCATCATAGTTGTGGTAATAGTAATTTGGAATTGAGAATTGTCTTGAATACGTGCATAGTAGTGATCACGCTTGAGTCGCAACAATGCACCATATGCGACCAAGCACCAATCTAGTTCCCAATAGCAACTATTGCTCACAAAACCCAAATATGAACAAATAAGAGGAATATGGTTGTGTTCTAAACATGCATATAGTCCACAAGTAATAAATTTTTGCAAATAACGTACAATGCTTCATAAAGTAAGTAGGGAGAACAGTGTTCATCTAGATTTACCTGGAAATCCAAAATGGAAAAGCCACTGGCTGAGCAGCCAAGTTAATCCTCGATAACAATGTTGGTACATGAGTGAATGTGCATTCACTGCACTTCCAATGAAGGAGAAGAGTAATGGTGTGCGTATGAACAAGGGAGTATTGCTATTTTAGGGTTTCAATCAATTGTGCCATAATTTGGTAGTAGAAACCCGTTATTGGTCAAAAGCGACTTCAATGCAATGTGGAAGGTTGCACAATATCACTTCTGGTTTTGGATTTACACCATACAACTTCCATAAGCTGACTTGAGAAGTCGCCTGGATGTTGTGGCAACTTGGATACGTGATCATGGAAGTCCTGAGCATGTCGTTTGTGTATGTACCGTAACTTTTCCTCCGTTTCGAATGTGACTTGTTGAGCGACTTTGAAAGTCATATTAAGCCTGGTGGCTGAATTGAGAGGCATTTTCAAGAATTGAGCATCATACTTGTAATCAGAGTAATTTATGACTCAAGCTATACATTGAGCTCATTAGTTGATAAACAAGTCTCAGTTCCAAAAAAACTTTTTATAAGTTGTAAGATTGCTAAGCAAATCAATTGAACACGAAGCAGAGAGAAGGGAAAAGGAAGACAGTAAGGCAAAAATCAGCCAAAGGTGACAGGTCTTAGTGTCCAAACAACTTCAAAATTTGAAGGCTTGCTATAAATTGTGAATGCATGATAATTTAAGTAAAGTTTATTGTGTATTTTTTTTAATGCCAAGTCATCAATAATGATAATAACATTAGATGATAGTGGAGGAACTCTTGCATGGGCAGAAACTAAGAAACTTGTTGGTTATAACTGGTTGTTCACACTTTGGTTGTACTATTGATGGGTATGGAAAGCTTTGGGATATGCTCTGTGGCAATGGTTAGTGTTTGTAAAAGTTCACTAGCAGAGGACTAAAGTTCTTGTTTACTTATTTTACCAAACCTAGTTTTCTCATACAAAGAGAGAATGTGATGGAATATAAGAAGTATGCATTCTTTTTACCAACAGAGTCCGTTGTAGTGTGTCATTGACAACATGGCATACTGATTGTTATGTGCCCCTGACATGAGTAAATGAAGAAAAACCATAGAAAAACAAACTTCTTTAGGGTCAGATTCATAAGCTTTTAGCTATTTTATTTGATAATTTTTTGGTATAAGTTTTACATGATTTTTGTGTACCAGTCATGGTGAGATTGACTTGTTCTTATGCCCTTGTGTTCTAAATGTGAAACCATCTTTAATAAGCATCCGTTCATACTTTTATGATAGGAAGGGTTTTGGCATCGTCAGTGCATCTGGCGGAAGTGGGTGGGGTGGTGGTGGTGGAGGAAGAGTTTCTCTTGACTGTCACAGCAAGCAAGAAGACATAAAAGTGAAAGTCCATGGTATGTCCTGATCACACCCAGTTTGTGGCATTCTGTAGTTAACTACATGATTTTTACATAGTTGCTTTAGTCTTTATTTGCGTATAATGATGTTCAACATGGTTGCTGTTATGGCGAACATTCATGCTTAAGGAGAACTTCCAAGAAATCATACTTCCTCTACTGCTATTTGGATGGCCACTCTTTTTTTGTTCCCCTACAGGCAACAAGAGAAGAAGTTTCATTGATAGTGAACTTCGAGTACATATTTCACAGTTTGGTCTAACAAAAAAACTAGATTTTATCTCAACAAACATTGACAACTGTCCACATGAAAATTTTCTGCCCATTGATTTGGGACACTGTCTAAGGCTGTCACTCACTTGTTGACTTGCACCAAATCTGCAGAGTGAAAGCACCTAGAACCAGAGGCGTCCATTGTCTTTGTTAATTCAAACCACTGCATATAGCCTATTGAAGAAAAATCACATATAAATGAAGGTCACTGATTCTTCCACAACCAGTGAACATCACGAAGTTGGTTTCAAACCTATTTTCAGATAGCGACAGAAACACCTTCAAGCGATTTATTGCCAAGACTGAAACTGAAATCATAATTGGACCTAAAGTTGATTCATAAGGATAAGATGAGATGGTCAGATGCCTCTGTGTTGTTACTTCAAAAGTGATAGTACCCAACAATAACTGACTAACTACATGAAACAATTTTGCTAAATAAAGACGATGCCAAGTGGAGATTGATATTTAGCTGAAACATACCTAATCGGAAAAAATTGGATATCCATATCGATTCTATATATTAGAAATCAATCCTCCTAAATGCTGAGATTGTTAATTTTACTGAATAAATACAGTTAACACCAAGAATCTATGAACCAAATATCACCACATCGAGTAACTCATTCTTGAAGTGTAAGTTTGACTACATTTGACCAGGAAAATCTACGAACCACCAACCATTTAAAATAACACACTTACAATCGCTTGATCCTACGGCGTAAAATATTTGTGAATGGCCACATATAGGAACCAAAATCAGTATCACCAGATTCTACTCCCCTGAACATACACTGATAGTTTACCGTGGTTGACTTGCTGTTGAGCCTTCTTAGTGATTGTGCTAAAGACCTTAACAACATAGGTGGTTTTGGGTGGATTTCATATTGACTAGAATAATAGAAATGGATGGTTGTTTGAAAACTCCCTTGAATGCGAGCAGACAGGGTTGGCACTTGGCAAGTGACATTTGATCTTGAGTAGATGAATAGTACCTTCATGTCCTTTGGAAGGCCACTATGATAATAGCTTAAGGGGTTACACTCAAGAGTTGTTTTTTCTTTTAAATTTATTTATTATTCTCCAATCAATGATCCATCACTTCTTCTCTATTCAATTACTTGCTAATTTTTACCCAAAACCTATCAATCCTCTCTCTATATATGTATATGTATGTATATAGCCATATTCTAAAAAACGCGCCTTGGCGCTGCCATGGCGGCGAGGCGCAACCTTGCTGCCACGTTAACCCCCTTGGCATGGATATGAGGCTTGGAGCTCGCCATGGCCTACCATGGCGCGTTGTGGCGTTATATGGTGTGGGAGGAAATTTGCAATTTTTAAAACTTGAATAGAAGTAAATATAACTTTATAGTTTATACGGGCCAAATACTTGATCAACAAAATGGGGAAAAAGAAAAAACCATAAATTACTTCTCAACATACAAAAAATATTGTTCGATTACTTTCATTTGTTGTTCTTTGATTTCATTACTTTGATTTTGTTGTTTGATTACCAAACAGAGACTATAAACAGTGACTTACTTTGTATATTTGGTATCATTTTTGTAAACTATGTATATTTGATATCAAATTATCAATTCATGGTTCTTCTTTTGTTTATCGTTTTACATGAATTTAAATTGTTAATAACTTGATCGTTATTGTTCAAGAGACTGACATAAACACACGCACACACACACATATATATAAATATTATAGATTTGCCGCCTTAAGCCATGCCTTGGAAAACGCCATGGTCTTGCCGTAACTTGTAAGGCTTGAGGCTTGACCTCGCCGCCACACCTCAATCCAATTAGAACCTTGATATATATATATATATATATATATATCTTATTCCATTCAATTAGTTTACATATAAGAAGGCAATACTCATCTTTAAAAAGATGGTGTGTGTGAGAGAAGTAGGTAATTTTTGCAAAAGAAGATTTGGTCACTGATATCTAGGCTTGTCTCTGGATGATACGTATCATGAAAGTCTAAATTTTATCCTAATTTTTGGCAATTTGAGGACCATTTCATGAATTTGGTTTTCTACGTCATACTAAGTTGCGTAACGATGAATATATAGCTGACCAGAAGAGATGCATCATGGGTCTGACATATCATCCTGATTAATTGCCTGAAATGATAGATTCTGGAGTCATAAAAGTCATGATGTCGGAGTAATCACAGATGATAGTCCATGACTTACCGTAAATTGTCTCTTCCAAGTTTCAGAAAAATTGCTTACAGTCTATGTTAGATATAGTAACTCAGCAATTCATTTTTGGATCAAATATAGAGGGTTCACACATACATATGGTGTGTTTGTAGTATTGTGTATTAGCGTCGCTACTTCCTGTTATACTAAACATGATCAGTTTTTCTGTGAGATAAATTTGTGCATGAAGAGGAGCCAGGTATCATTGACTTCAATGATAAAAATCTTTACCACCAAATTGACCCCTACTATTATTTGTAATACTTAAAGTTCTTTGGGAGAATGTTATTTTGGAGTAAATGAACTATTTGTATCATCTTTTCCTATCTTGTATGATAAACTGAAAAAGAAATCTGTAATACTCAACCACACACTTCAGTTGACATTTGAAGCATCTCATATAATGATGTTGGATCTTTGATTGTAAGGCCTTCATGTCCATTTGCTGAAGTGGCTAATTTTTCACACTTTTTCTGCTGTACTGTATATGTAACTTGATTATATTATATCTTTTCATATTGTCTTCTCAGCTCCTAAATACTACTGTTGAGTGATGATGAAGTTACATCAAAAGATTTGGCTTGTTGACAGTTATGTCTGAAGATACATATTTTTTCTTGTGCTATCACAGGTGGTCACAGTATTGGCTGTCCGATGAATGGTGGAGCAGCGGGTACTTGTTTTGATGCATATTTACTGAGCTTGAGAGTTGACAATGACAATGTCACTACAGAAACAGAAACTCCTTTACTTGATTTCTCCACTAGCCCGTTGTGGACGAATGTTTACATTGAAAATGATGCAAAAGTTTTGGTGCCACTACGTTGGAGCAGAGTTCAGGTTGGAATTACTATTCAAGTGTGTGTGTTTGTGTGTGCATGTGCCCTAAAACTCTTTCAAGGTCAAAGTTGCATGACTTGGAACTAATGGCATCTTACCTGAGTTGTAGCCAATTTTTCAAATTTAATCCCAAAAACCAATTGGTTAAATAAAAATAACCCTGATTCCCTTGAAAGACAGAAGTTTTAACCCATCAACACTGCAGACTATGAAGAGAGAGAGAGAGTTGATTGATCATCATGCCATCAGTAGTAGCTGATAGAGAGACTCAGAGAGATGCAAGAAGCAAAAGACAAGTACCTGTTTGATTTTGTGGCTTGTTCCTGGTTTTTTAGGTTTAAAGCGAGAACCGAAAAGTACTTCACTATTTTACGGGTTAGCATGTAGGGATTTCTTACAGACATCCAAAATTATATAAAGAGCACATGCTCTATTTTCTTCTTCTAAAAGGATAGAAAGAGTTGCGTCATGTCCCTGGAACCCTTCTTTCTTTACAAGCAATTATGGGAATTTACATCTACTTTTTGTAGAGATGAAATTTAAAGATGGTTACAAAAGCATCATTCGAGTGTTGTTTTGTTCTATGTGAGAATTAAATATAATATACCTAGAGTTTAATATATAAAATGGGTTTTTTAATCAGCTTGTTGCCTCAGGGGTAACTAGCCTTTCACGGTGGCATGCTGTTGCCTTAGAATTTTTGGATCCTTAAGATCGACTTATCTCCTTCTCTCTCTCTCTCTCTCTCTCTCTCTCTCTTTCACACACACACACACACACACACTCTCTCTCTCTAACGTCACATGAAAAGAATGGCATATTAACTTTAGTCTACTCCAAGGAACCACTGTTGCGGAACTTGTCTATCACATACCTTTACACTTGGTCTTGTATTAAAGCTTAACTACAAATTTGGTAAAATTGGTTTGAGTTTGTTGTAACAATGTTATAATAGCCATGTCAAGCATCCTACTGAATTTTCCCTCATTGCCTTCTGAACTATTATCTTTTATCCGACCATATCTCCTCCTTAAAATCTACTCAGCTATTTATGAATGTTGCCTTTTCATATACCTATAGTCTCCACATGATAAACATTTCACTTTCTTGGTATACAACTTACCCATCAAGTTGATTTGGACATAAGATCTCACAATGTACTTCTGCATACAACAAGCCTAACATGTTTCTAGTACAATACATTTGCATCCAAATATACTCTAGATTGTATAACCCTTGAACTCTAGGCTTTTACTTACAGTTTTTGCTTAACATTAACCCCTAAAGTAGTCTCGGTCAAAACAAAACATTATACAAATGAATACCCAATTTGGTTTGGTGTATATATTTTTGCATACCTGTTATTAATGTGCATCAAGGGATCTGGGCATTGGAGGATTGTTAAAGCTTGCTATGCACCACTTGTTTCTCTTTATGTAGCTTGAGTTGTAAGATGAGCGAATGAGAGGGATGGGAAATAAGTGGAGGGGCATTCCACTCTGGGAAATTTTGCTAACACGATTCCTAGACTTAACTTTGATTATAAAACTAGGATAGAACATCATCTTTTGGCAAATGGGGACATTAGATCTAACAAGATTGTGACGATCCAAGGAATCATTTACAATGCCTGGTTGTTGGTGGCTGAAAAGTTAAAATCTATAAAGTTGACTCTAGTTGGTTTTGTGTTGTAATGACTCCAACTTGACTGATCCATTAGTGACATGATACTATGTTACAGTTACAAAAGCTTGAAACATAAATCTAACCAAGGAAGAAGGTAACAAATTATTCAGTTTTAAGAAGCTAAATAAGATATTTTGTTGGAAATTGAGTTATTACTACTTAATTAATATATCTGGTGTTACATATTCTAGTATAATGATAAGATCTGCTGCTCTGTCAATGCTAGAGGCTCATTAAAGTGTAATATTATCATTAAAATAACTGTCATATATGATATTCATCTTGACATACAGTGGTGTTTTACTAATTCTTTCTGTTTGGGTAGGTGAGAGGACAAATTAAACTAGATTGTGGTGGCAGCATCATCTTTGGGTTGTCCGATTTTCCAGTGTCTGAGTTTGAGCTTGTTGCAGAAGAACTTCTTATGAGTGATTCCACCATAAAGGTACAAACATGATTTCAATGGTCTTAACTTTGTGGTTAATTTATAAGCTGATTGGCCGTATGCGTTAAAAGACTTAAAAGCATGGATGAAACCTGAGATACTATTATGCCCAACGTTGCTTCATGTGTTGTTTCCCTTCTTTTCTCTACGTTCAAGGCACATGTCTAAGTTGCATAAAAAAAGTTTATGGGTTATTGAGATCTTCTTCAAATACCAATAATTTGCAATATATGCCTTTTGTGGCCTCCTCAACTGCCTTTATCGTCTTAACCTCCATCTATAGTGTGGGGATAACAGCTAATGGGTGGACTGAACATGAACATTGATCTCTCACGTGGAGAATAAATGTTAGCTACATAAGTCTGCTAAATTGTGAAAGGGTGGTAAACATTATTTTTATTAAATTAAACAGTTAATCATGGATACATAAACATGATTTTGGTAAAATTAAACAGTAAAGCGTGGCTGTTAGTCAAATTAGCTCACTAAGCATCATCTCAAGACAAACTAGTTCAACCATCAAAGGTTTGCTCTATTTCTTGCCGAGTTAACACCATTAATCACACTGAGTGGACTCAATATGATCATGCAGGAGTGTATTGCTCGTTCATGAAATTGAAAGTTTGCTTGAGACTTTGAACACGGTCTCGCCACAGGAAGAGAATGAATTGCAGAAATATCTACTAGATCTGTGAATGACCCTCTTTGTTTTGTGAATGTGCTTATACATTCAGAAAATTTAGTTTACACAAAACTGAAGAGGAAAATGAACGCTTCTCTTAAAGCCTTTAGGTAATTTCTCAAGGAGAATACTGTAAATTCTAATGTATCAAGGTGCATACAACCTGGGTGGGTATGTTTTCTTAAGAGTGTAGTGGTTGCTAGTTGCTACTTGGACATTCAAAGCCCTTTTCTTTTTCAAGTTACTTCTTTAATTTTGGGTACACGAAGTAGCTATTTTATGTAATTCTGAAATGGCTCTCTTTCTATATATGAAGGTCTATGGTGCACTTAGAGCTACCTTCAAAATGGTGCTCATGTGGAACGCTCAAATCCAAGTTGATGGTGGTGGCAGCACACTTTACACTATTTCAGTTCTTGAAGTTCGTAACCTTATTGTTCTGCGGGTATGGTAAATCTTTTTGCGGATACTATTGTGAAGACATACAAAAGCTTTATCGCAATACAATTTTGTGAATCTGATCATAACTGTCTGTTCTGGCAGGAAAATTCCAGCATCAACTCAAATACGAACTTGGCTGTTTATGGCCAAGGACTTCTGAGGTTGACTGGTCAGGGTGATGCAATCAAAGCGCAAAGACTTTCCCTTTCACTATTCTATAACATAACTGTAAGGTCTTTTCTGGAGTTAATTTTATTTATTACCTTTTACTTTTCATGTTTACTTATGCAAGTGTTTCTCGTTGTGGTAGTCTGTATTCCTTATTTACCAAGCCAATTAATCTGATCTTCTAGCAAATACTTTATTATGGATGCCTGTGCAAATGAACATTATACACAATAGGTCGATAGCCTCCTGCTCTATTTTCTTTATTTTTTAAAAAATCATATGACAACAACTATTTCTTAGCATCCAAGCAAAGATTTTTTTCCGCTGGATGCTTGCAAATACTTGCATTTTGGATGACCTTTCTGCATGCTACTATCCATTCCTTATTAGCGCATGCGACGCATCTGGCACTTGGTGTTGCATGATTCGATCTGGGTTCCCCTGAAACCACTTCAAAGAGCTCTTTGTTATTTTCTTATCTTTATTTCTTGAAGTCCAACTGCGGAGAGTTTCTTTCATAATCACTTGCTATTCACAGATTGGGCCTGGTTCTTTGCTTGAAGCTCCATTGGATGATGATAATAGTAAAAGCATGTGAGTATGGACATCTATTTCATTTTGGCTTGAAATGCGGTTGTTCTATAAGTTGAGAATGGTGCAAACTGTGTATTAACCAATCTAATTAATCTTTTTGGCAGGGCAACCAAATCTCATTGTGAGAATCCAACATGCCCAAGAGATTTGATTTATCCACCTGATGATTGTCATGTCAATGACACACTTTCTTTTTCACTACAAGTAAGAAACACTAAACTGTCTAGGATATGCATTCCCTGGTAATATCAATATTTAATTTAAAGTATTTATTTGTGATGTGTTTCATTGTAAACTTTATATGGTTCCAGATATTAGTAAATGCCAATCCTTATTTTGAAGTGCAGCCAGTATTCGAAAAATCATTAAGCAGAGCTAGGTGACAAGGCAACCTAATGTTTGATTGTCAGATGTAGATTAAGCAGATGCTTAATCGGATGCATTAAGCTGAACATTGCAATGTGTAAAATACAATTACCTTTATGCCATGTAAACGTTAGAAGTTAAATAAGCATTTGATACTATATACACTTGCTTTGCTAAATAACTAATTTATTTATTCCATTTTTCTGCATTATGAGGCATGAAGACTTTGATGTTGATACTTTATTATTTTTATTCACTTCTTGAGTTGAGTCTATACTTGCTTGTTTAAATTGGGTTACACAGATAGAAGCTGGTTTTATTTGGGCCAAAATATCTTTCAATTGGACTTGACTAATTTTTTTTATCTGGTATACCATTTAAGTCTTGAAGATGAGATTTGTGTAACAAGGAGTGTAGCTTATAGGTCTATTTTGCTTCCATAGAATGCAACACATCTCTCTTGGGGTAACATGTCATGTCCTTAAAAATACCAACGTAAGTACACCCTTCTTCAGTGTTGTTGATCATTTCATTGATGGCCTAAGCACATATCCTCTTCATCCTAAGGATGTTTTAGGTTAATCTAATGAGCTTTGTTTCTCCAACGCTAGTCAGGCAAAATTTATTCTCGGATTAGTTTCCAGTTCCTTCTGGAATTCTAAATAATGTAACTGACTGCGATGAGTACTAGGGTCATGGAACCATAGGTAAAGACTGTTTATCCATTTGAAGAGAGTAAGAATAAAGAACTGAAGTGTAGGTATCCTAGACTGTAACATGAAAATTTGAGGTTAAAGATTGCAAGATCTTATTGTTGTGTAAAGTTGAGCTTATCATATTGCAAGCTTTTATTATCGAACTAGATGAATTAGCTACTAATTTTGTGGCTTCCATTTGAACTTTTGGCAGATTTGTCGCGTTGAAGACATAGTTGTGAATGGCATAATTAAGGGGAGTATCATTCAAATCCACAGGGCTAGGACTGTCATTGTGGAGACAGAAGGCATGATAACTGCTTCCGAATTAGGTATTTTTTTCTGAGCTTTTGCACTTAGTAGCCAAGACTTGTGTTTGCCATCTGCTTGTTTAGTTAAGTTCCGTTTCAAACTGTGAATGACAATTTCTTTACCCAATCTCCTTGTAAATACTTCTAACTTCTGTCTAAATTATTTTTCCAGGTTGTCGAAACGGTTTCGGTTTGGGAAACTATTCAAATGGAGCTGGTGGTGGGGCCGGGCATGGGGGCAGAGGGGGTACTGGATTGTACGATGGAAGGCTTAGTGAAGGTGGCAGCACATATGGTAAACCAGATCTTCCCTGTGAACTGGGAAGTGGAACTCTTGGTCCTAATGAGTCTGTTGGACGTGTTGCTGGAGGAGGAATGATAGGTAAGCTTTTTCTGAAAGAACTCTTATGACATTAGTGAGATTCAATAAGATCGGTAATTATTTTAACTTTCATCCAGTCATTGAAATATTCCAATGTCTTGTTTTTGCCACTATGTAACATCACCGACTAGGTTTTTCCTTTCTGTATTTATTTTAAGTGCTGTGCGAAGGTGGAGTAAAAAAAAATGTAACATCTGCCTCCAGTCATTTTTTTTTTCTATCTTTTGGCAAAAGAAAGTTTAATCAATAAGATCAACTGAAGTTGAAGGGCAGTATAAAGGTTTGATACATCAACTCTTTAGGAAGTTGATTTCTATTATCTTAAATTCAAGAAGATCAATACACATTACTGCTTTAGTTATTGCAAAGCTATCCAAAAAGTACTACCTGTTGAGCGTTGTAGCCTTTGTTAGAGTTTGGTTATGTATATATTGTATTAAGTTAGATGTAGGCTTTTGTTTCTTATTCTCAAAGGTGGGCCAAAGGCCATGTATTATATTATATAGACTTCCCTTTTAGTCACTTAAATGCATATACTTCAAACTCTAATCATGGGTATTAGAGCCATTAGCAAGGATGTGATTACCAAACTTAGCCTCTTAAATTAAGTTGCTACTACATCAGCCTGCCACCTCTGCCTGCTGCTGTTGCTGCGTGCTACCGCCATGTTTGCCGGTGGCCGCAATTATTGCCGCCGCTTTCTACCACTGCTTGGAATCACCAGAGACTATCTGACTAGGAAGTTTTATGTTGAGATGCAGTTCCTTTCCCCAAATAGCACGAATCCGATCGGTAATAATAGAGATTGAAGCAGCATCCAGTTCTAACTTTTATTGGGGGTTTATCTTCTCGTTGCATCTTATGTTAGTCCTTGCTTCTCAATTCTTCTGGTATCTCTTCACTTTCTTTGACATATCATTTGTGTTGCAAAATATGTTCTATTTAGACATCGTCTAGAGATGTTACGTAATCTCTACCCTTGCTAGTCTCTCGCTCATCTAGAAGAGGAAGCCAAGGGATAGAGAGGAGGGAGAAACGGTGACCCTCTTCAAACCAAGATGATAAGAAGATATGGTGTCATTCTTGCAAAAAGTTAGACCACCTAAAGTGGGATTGCCCTAATTGCCTCCCGGAGGATCCTTGTATTAACCCCTATTCCAATAGGGGATTTTTATGATATTTGGCATGTCTAGCTTGCATCTGGAAATATATCACTACTTTTGTTGGGTGCTATAGTTAAGAGGTGATTAGCCGACTCCATATCTGCTCTTTGGACAAGTGCTTTTGACTTTAGAATTAAATTGGCATTGTAATGTACTATGTTGTTACAACGGTCAAAATCTGAAATAGCAGTTATAGCGACGGTAAAGCTGTCCACAAATAGCGATTCATGTAATAATTACAATTATATATAACTGTATGAATGTATACATAACATCCTATATATTTTGAAGATGAACATAAGAACACGTGAATAAAAAAGATGATGAGCAATCGATGTTGGAAGACAATGTTGTTGTGAAGAGAAGATGCAGAATAATAGATTGGAATAGAAGAGACAAGAGAGGAATAGCGAGTTCACACACTAATATTGCAAATCAAAATCAGCCCCCAAGCTTGTAATCCCTTAAAACGACTTCTCTAAACCCTTTAAAGAAGGCCAACTGAGAGCCCAACTCCTAATTGCGGTGATTAGCGTCTCTATGAGCAGAACCGCTATTTCCCCTAGGACCGCTAACCGCAATAACACTGATATTTTACCGCAATTAACAGCATATATATAATGTATATTATTTACCTTCTTTCCTAGCTCTCCTTCTTGGATAATGACTTTCAAAGCATGTCATCACAAGATTGCGGATGGTACTATTTTGTCTGAAAATATTTCATTTTCTTCTCATTCCTTTGTTTGACTAGCTAATGCCATTGGAGGGGTTGAAAGTCCCATATTACTAACTAAATACAACTTCTGGATGTTCTAGACATCCCGTTCTTCTAAAAGCTTAATTTCTGTAAACCAAATTAAATTAGCTGCGTTTTATATTCTCTTGGATGCATGTTTGTTCGATATTCCCATGTCAAAAAAGGTTTCAGGTGTGTTATAGTCCTTTATGTCATTATTTTTCTTCTCTGAGTCACGGAGCCTCCTTCCTCTTCCCATTTTTTTTATTCCAAGAAATTCCGAACAATTGTCAGCAGATAGCGTTCCTTTTATTACAAAAGTTTGCACTTGACAATGAAGAAGTTCCTTTGATCCTGTATCACTAGTTTTCAGTCCATGTTGTCATCTAATTCAACCGCACTTCTTTATACTCTTGAGCACAATATCCGTTCTCCAGCATGAACCGTACAACCCATGCACCCACTACATGATCCAAAATTATCTGGTCCATATTACCTCTGCACCAAAATCTTTGGATTTGCCATTGATAGTCATGTTGTCACCTAGAGTGTGCAGAAAGCTCTCCAACGTCATGATTGGTTTTTGGGCTATGTAGGAGGTGATAGATACCCTACAGAGAAATATATGAGTTACACCTGATAGCTTCATATGCTGTTGAAGCATTATCTTGTCGCTAAAGGGAATTCTCAAATTCTATGGCCAGGATGTCTTATGTTAACATGTGTGGTTCTAGACGCTATGAACCGTTGGCTTCTATTTCAGCTAGATATCAAGAATGTCTCCATCAATGGAGTCCTTGAGGAGGAGGGATATATGAATCAACCTCCTTGGTTTGTTGTTTGTTAAAAATCTTCGAAGGTCTATTGGTTATGTCGCTATTTATATGGGCAAGTAATTTCCCAAAGGTTGGTTTAGACGGTTGTCTAAGGTTCTTTTGTAGTTTGGTCCGACTTGGAGCCTGGTTTGGTGTTCTTTTGCTACCAAAAAGGTGGATGCATTATTTTGTTCTATACATCAGTAATATTATCACTTGAGATGATGATCTAGCTATTACGAGCTTAAGGATTTTATTATCAATTTATGATGCTGCTATTTTCAAGGGATTGAGGTATCTCGTTTGTAGCATGAGATACTTCTACATCAGAGAAAGTAGGTCCTTGACCTCTTAATGAAGTGTGGATTGTTAGGTTGGTAGCTATTAGATTATTTGGTTCTTCTTTTCTGCAAGCTTCTTGGATTGAGAGAAATATAGGAGATTGGTTAGAAAACTCAATTATCCAATTATCACTTGTCCAAATCTTTTGCTCGTGGTTGGTATTATTGGCGTGTCCGTTTTTGCTCCGTATACCAACCATTGGGATGTCGTTTTCCATATTTGGAGGAATCTAAAGCATCTCCATGATGAAGCATCATGGATTCTATTTTAACTTAAGTCATAGTCGGGTTGGTGCCCTTCATCGAGGAAGGGTACGGATGATAGCTGGATTCACTAATGCAGATTGGGCCAGAGGTCATAAGTTATTGTATATTTATAGGAGTAATCTAGTTTCATGGATAAGAAAGAAAAAACCCACTGATTTTCATTCCATATCCTTCCTCTACGTTCAATTCACATTCGAACATAACATTACTTTGCTAATATGCTAACAAAATTCTCACGGAAAAGTCTGATTGACTATTTGTATAAAGTTGCATATTGGTCCTTATTCCCCCACTTAGATGTGTTAGTGTTGTATAAATAACTCCGCGTAAACACTTGACTGACTTTTTAAAAGCAAAGTCAAACTAAAAGTAAATGATCCCAAACAACTGAAATACAAATCATCCGATATCAATTTCAGTATAGAAAGGATTTTTATAACATGTAGAGGTGAACTAAGTAATGCGCAACAAACATCCAATACCAACATTTACAAACACAGTAGTGAAACAATAAAGAGATAGAGAGACAAGATGATTTTATTGGGAAAAGGCAAGAGCAGAGGACGCCAAAACTTATCCACTATATCGATTGGTGTGATTACAAGCTTGAAGAAGTAGCAACAATGGTTACCAGAGCAGTTCTTGTGTATGTGGTATTTGTGTATATTGAGGGGGTAAAGGGTAACAAACAAAATGACCAAAATCTAGTAATAAAACCCGTCTGGTGCTCGTATGCCACTTACTGTGGACTTGCCAAGTCACATGTACCACAAGTCTGATCGGGTTAAACGCGACTTCACATGCGGTGTCACAAGTTGCATGCAATTTGTTGCTTAGGGATTTAAGTCACACTCCAATTAATTATGTTATTTATGTATAAATAATAATTTTTAGGGTTTGGTTTCTTATTCTCCAAGTCTACAAAGGCCCATGTTTTATACATACTCCCTTTTTCATCAATATAATGCATGTAGTTCCAACCGTTATTACACTACCAATCATCATATTTATTGTTTTCGAAAGCCAAATGAATGAATTCAGATCATTTTGAAGTTATAAGATATTACAAAATTTGACTTGTAAAAAGACCGAATTCCTCCAGTTTCTGAAGGAAGATCATGTAGACAGCATATGCACTAGAAGAAAATAGTTTGCAGCATGTGGAACTACTTTTAACATTTTATTTCTTTGAACCTGAAATCTAGTTTCATTATATAATTACTCTTTCATTTATGACAGTGATGGGATCTATTCTATGGCCTCTTACAAAGCTTGACATATATGGATCCATGAGGGCTGATGGTCAAAGCTACGGGAATGCAACGACAAACAGTAATGGCACTCTGATTGGAGGATTAGGCGGTGGTTCTGGTGGAACCGTTCTTCTTTTCATACAGGCAATTTCTCTCTTTGATAACTCCTCTTTGTCTGTTGCCGGAGGCCATGGTGTCTCTGTTGGGGGTGGCGGTGGAGGAGGTGGAAGAGTTCATTTCCACTGGTCCAAAATTGGCACGGGAGATGAATATGTTCCTCTTGCAATGATAAATAGTACCATCAGCACATGGTAGGGTTTCTATTCTAAAAGCTTATTCCACATTACTACTTACCCCAAATGTAGTTATATTTGTCCTTGAACTGTCACATCTATGGGTGATATCAGCCTTGAAAGTCATTGAAGGCTATTCGATGGTTGGTTCCGGCTGTTGGAAGGAATTGAGATTACTTGGATGCTAGAAAAGTTGGATTGTGACCAAAAGCACCAAATGCATCAAAGGAACGGCTTTATGAAAAAAAAAATTATGCTAGCTGTTGAACTTCATATGCATGAATGAAAGCCATAGTGAAGCAGTCATAGATTTATGTAAATGCTGACAGAAAGTGAAATGTGCCTTGATGAATCATACTCCTATTAGAAACCCATGGCAAATTATGTTTTTTCAGTGAAGACACCTATGCAGTATTCGTAACATGATAATTGAATAATTGCTATAAATTTCATCTAGAAATATTATTGGGGTGTTCCTAAATTCTGTACTGCATTGTCTTCCTCTTCCTCTTTTAGTTGTAAGAACATTTTCATCATAAATTGTTATTGCGGTGACAAAAGCTATTCTAATGGATATGTTAGGTCGTTATTAGTAATCTATTTGCTCGAGTATTTGGATCACACATCATATATAATAACATTGTTTTTTTTCTTAACTGCATCTTACTTTGTATTTGCTACAGGGGTGGTGAAGGGGATGGGGAGGCTCTTCCTGGAGAGGAGGGTACAATAACTGGAAGGAAATGCCCCAAAGGGCTTTATGGCACATTTTGTGAGGTATGCTTGTTTTCTTTTCGTTTAACTATGTTCAGACTACAAATGTGGCATCATCTAAAAGAACCAACTTTTTTAAGTCGTTCAGTTTGTTTAAGCCTTTCATGCTGATTTAATGAGCAGTGTACATGTATGTTGCATGATTCTGTTTCATGACTCCTGGGGCCACTCGTATTTGGTGAATATTTTCAACTTTTAAAACACTTAGTAGGGTGTTCATTCTTTTTCTGTATGTTTGCAGGAATGTCCAGTTGGCACTTTTAAAGATGTTGAAGGCTCAGATGATGATCTCTGTACTCCTTGTTCCCTTGAAAACCTTCCCAGACGTGCATTTTTTGTACATGTTCGAGGTAATTTTAAAATATCCATTGCAACACACGTACTTGGCATATGTACACACACACATATATAGGGGAGGGTTCAAATGAGAGTGGTAAAAAGGTTGAGAATGTGAGAATATGGAAAAAATGGATGAAAAAGTCTAATTTGCTCCTTTTTTGGTATAATTTGTCTGCCCCAATTTTGATTATATTTTAGATTTTAAAGGTAGGGGCTAATCTTTTTAGCTTTAAAAAAGGTGGTCAGATCATCTAATGGATGAGATCTATTTTCACATTAAACATTTCTCGCAGCTGGCAATAAGTGTAACCTATTTACCGTAATCACACTTTGAGTGACAATCATGCAGGTGGAGTCCCCGAGTCATTTTGCCCCTACAAATGCAGATCAGAAAAATACAGGATGCCAAACTGCTACACACCTCTTGAAGAGCTGATATACACATTTGGAGGACCCTGGCCTTTTGCTCTAATGCTTTCATGTGTGGTGATTCTTCTTGGTCTGTTTCTAAGTACGCTCAGAGTTAAGCTTGTTGGACAAGCTTACGCTTATGAAAAAGTAGATTCAAATGATCACAGCAATCACCACCATTTTCCTTCTCTTCTTTCCCTATCTCAGGTATGATAATATCTTTCTGATATATGCACTTTTAAACTATTTTCCCTTTAGACGCAAGTCGTAGCCCTTTGCCATCATACAACATATAATAATAGTGCCCATGTAGCAGGCCAACCGGAGTTTGTACTTGTGACAATTCAGTTGAAAATCTACAAACCCCGCACAATTCAGTCGAATCCTGAATCCCACATAATGTGTAATGCTACATAGGCACCATTTGTTAACATAATATGGCTAATTCTCATGTTTACACTATACAACAAGCGTAGTGAAAAAATATTTTGACCTGCTTTATGAACTTTTTGTATAGGTCCGAGGAACAAGAGCTGATGAAACTCAGAGCCATGTCTATCGAATGTATTTTTTGGGTCCCAATACATTTAGAGAACCCTGGCATCTTCCTTACTCTCCTCCTGATGCGATCATTGATATTGTGTAAGAAGTCACATTGACCAGAATGTTTTAATCGTTTTGTAATTGTTTCTTGGTGCATCTTGGGAAGCGTATGATTTTCAATGGACACATAATTTCTTTTACGTAAATAAGATACAAAGCAAGATAGATTTTGGATACAAGTTTATGAAAGAACTTGTCTAGAGGTTACTCTGTCAAGAACGACACTTTACATTTAATCACTGTCTCTTATAAACATTATATTTAATTGGATTGGCTACTAGTGAATATAAACATTATCTTTCAAGAATGTGCAATTTTTCTTCCTATGTATGTGATGTTTAACTGGATTCGAGATGCAGATATGAAGATTCGTTTAACAGATTTATTGATGAGATAAACTCAGTGGCTGCATATGATTGGTGGGAAGGATCAGTTCACAGTATACTTTCATTGCTTGCTTATCCTTGTGGCTGGTCTTGGAAACAGTGGCGTCGGAGATACAAAATCAATCGGCTTCAGGAGTTTGTCAAGTCTGAATATGATCATTCTTGTCTTCGCTCCTGCCGATCAAGAGCTTTATATAAAGGGATGAAGGTTCGACTTTGTACATATTTTGTTCGTGCTACTTTTTTCATAGATTAACATTAAAATTATGCTTTGCTAGCATAATCATTCAGCATACTAGTTGGATGTATAGCATCTTTGCATGAACTTCCTGCTTCTCATGTAGACCTTCCTTAGTTTTCTAAGACCATCTAGGGTTCATATTATAATACGTTAATAGTATAAGAGGTTGAAATTATAAAAAATATATGCCATCCCTTTTACATCTTATCTAGATACATCCCAGATACCAAGAAGAACAATCATAACAATGCTTGGGAAATATCTCTTTTCCTTGTAAACTGTAACTTCTATGCATATATTCCGTTTATCCTATTATATTCAGATTGGTGATTATTAATGCAGGTTGGTGCGACGCCAGATTTAGTAGTTGCATACATCGATTTCTTCTTGGGTGGCGATGAGAAGCGTTTAGACATGGTAACAAGTATTCAAAAAAGGTTCCCAATGTGCATAATTTTTGGTGGAGCAGGAAGCTACATGTCACCTTACAATCTTCATAGTGATACTTTGCTGACGAATCTTATAGGACAGGTCTTTTCTTGTGATATATATTCATTTAGTATTAAGTTGTGGCATACTTCATTTCCTGACATTTGTACATCTGATTGGCCAGCATGTTCCCTCAAGTGTTTGGAATCGTTTGGTGGCTGGTTTAAATGCCCAGTTGAGAACCGTGAGAAGTGGATCCATACGGTCTGCTTTAGTTCCTGTTATTAACTGGATAAAAACTCATGGAAACCCCCAGCTTGAGTTTCATGGGGTTAAAATTGAGCTTGGATGGTTTCAAGCCACTGCTAGCGGTTTCTATCAGTTGGGCATTTTGGTAATTGTTGGTGATGATTCTCTCCACAACCTCCACCAGCCTGATTTGATAGAAAACAGTGAAGAATCGCCAAGGTAACTTTATTAAGTGTTTTATAGATTTTCTTAAGAGATTATTGTATTTCTAATCAATCTGTATACCATCCAGGCATTTTGCAACCATTCCAGACAAGAGTCTGAAGCAGTTGCAACCGAGTCAATCGTATACAAGTCATGCATTAACTCGTAAAAGGGTAGCAAGTGGAGTTAATGGTGCCATCATCAACGATGCTTCTTTAAAATCCTTGGATTTTCGGAGGGATTATTTCTTTCCGTTTTCTTTATTTTTGCACAACACAAGACCTACTGGGCGGCAGGTATGTCACTATGCTTAAATTTTATTTTGAGGAAGCATTTCAGCGATCGTTCATCAATGTGATTTTTTAGTTGCATTTCAGGGTACGCTACAGCTCCTGATATGTATCTTGCTTCTATCAGACCTTTCTGTCACTCTCCTCATATTGCTCGAGTTCTATTGGATCTCTCTTGGGGCTTTTCTAGCTGTTCTGCTGATTCTACCTTTGTCATTGCTTTCCCCTTTCCCGGCGGGTTTGAATGCCTTATTTAGTAGAGGTCATAAAAGGGCTTCACTTGCACGTATCTATGCACTGTGGAATTCTACCTCTGTTTCAAACATTGTAAGTTTCCGTTATATGGCTGAGGATTATAGGTTATAAGCCCCTTATTATAGACACCTATGAACTGCATTGCATGTCAAAGAGTAATCGTTCGAATCTAAAAGGAATTTCAGATGTTATAATTTGTGTGAAAAGAAACATAATAGACAATGTAGATTCTATGGTTCCACAAAAGAAAACATGAATTTTGAAATCATAACCAGTAGCAAGGTGTTTGTTACTACAATTGTCAATTAGCTTGTTGATATGTAGTTGGATCACATTCACAGATGCTGTGAAATCAAACCAAACGGACCCAATATCTCACCTGGGGGTGGGGGTTTCT